GGCCCCAGGGCCCGTGGAGGGCGGCCAGTGGCTCGAAGCGCGGGGGAGAAAAGCAGGACCCGCTGCCCTGGAGGAGCGGCCGCACGCAGAAGCGACCCTGGGCAACAGTGACTTTCGGTGACAGGCTGCAGGATTAGGTCGGGCATGTTCTCCCACAGGCGGATGTTGGAGGAACAATTGAAGATAGACCCCCAGCAGATTCAAAGGTAATGAAACATCGGCCCCATACGATGTTTAAACTATGTTTTTGAATACTCCTCCTGTACAGTCAGGACGTTGACCTAAGGAACCCTAAATAAGGAACGAGGCCCCTTTTTTCCCATCAGTGAAGGTTCGATCTCCCATCGAAAACCTGAGGAAAACCTAGGGCAAGCTGAGAAAGAATCAAGGAACACGGAGCCCCTCCCCCACGAAAAGGGTTCCTTCTTCAGCGCCCCGACTGTAGAGGGACACGCCCGACTTAACTGTAGAAGGGCAGGGGGGGGGGGCAAGTCTATAGGCGCGCAGGCAGCTGTGGTCCACCGCACTCGGCGATCGGGGGACCCCCGAGGCCTCCGCGGCAGAGTGCCGCTCCTGCGGGCTGCCGCGGAAAACGGCAGGGCTGGTCCTGAACGCTGTTTTTTTTGGTGTGGTCTTCATTTTGTTGTTCGTTTTGCTCTACCTGTTTGAAGGGGCCCCAGGACACGCAAATAAATACACACAAATGACAAGATTCCCCATATTTTCATATAGTTTCTGGGTTTCTGTCTTCCCCCCACTTCCCATATTTTCCAACATTTTCTCAGGAATCGAGGATTAATTGTGTCTGTGTGTTTTTTCCTCTCCTGACTGTTTTCCTTTTAGCTCCCTCCCAGAACGAAAGGCGAAACACAGCCGAAGCCCAACAAAACAGCGTTCAGGTCCAGCCCTGGCCGAGGAGAACGGGGGTTGACGGGGACAGGGCGAAAGGGGGGGGACTGCCTCGGGGCGGGAGGAAGGGACACCGACTCGGAATCGCCCACGGGAGTCCCCGACTCGCTCCCCGCGGCCAGCGCTCCAATCCTGAGCCGCTGAACATCGTCCAGGGAGGAGACGGGGTGCTGGCCCACGAGATTCGGAGAACGACGACGACGACAACCACGACGACGACGACGGCGGCGGCGGCGACGACGAGGACGACGAGGACGACGAATCGGCGACGCATCGACGATAGATGGGTGAGGGGACCTCGGTGGCAACACCGCGGGCTCCTCGGCAAGCCGGGGGCGCCCAGGGGCCCCGCCCGGCGAGGGGCGGGCGCGCGGGGGGGCCAAGTGCCTCCCCCCCTGTGGCCCGGCCCCGAAGGCACGAGGCAGACGGGCACGATCGCGGCGTAGACAAAGCCAGACAGACAGACAGACAGACGGGCAGACGGACAGGACCGCGTCGTGAGCAAAGCCAGACAGACGTGACCGCGCCGTGAGCAGGACCAGGCAGACGGACAGACTAAAGACCAGGCCCGGGGCACGAAGCAAGACCAGACAGACAGGCAGACGTGACCGCAGGTTGTCCTACACTTTCGGCCCCCGGGGGCCCTCGCCGGGCCCTGGGGCGGTCGAACAAACGACTCGGGCTGAAAAAACAATTCTGGGGAATGTGTCTCGGGACTTCCAGGGACGCCGTCAAGCTGGGATGCAAACGGACATACTGGTTGGTGCTATGTGTCCTCCATGTGGGCGTGCGTCCGACCCGAAGATGTAGAACCATCTTGTAGCACATCGTTTCCAGAGCGGTATGGCCGAGGAGCTTATTCTACAAGATGTTTGCAAAACGCGCGTCGCCCCTGAGAGATGACGCGCACGTAATGATAGCATGCCGGGGCAACGACGGCAAGCGATTCCTCGGGGAAGCGGGCCCTGAACCCGAGCAGGGACCGACCGTCCCGGCCTTCCTGCAAGCCTACTGCGGAAGCGCTCCCAGGATACAAGAACGGCCCAAGAACACATGAGCATCGTTCTTGGAACCTGAAAGCGACGTGTTAGAACAGGACTGTCACAGCCAGAAGCGTTCGAAGAACACTTCGTGCAAGCCACATAATGTTGTTTGAGCATTCTTTGGTGGGCCATACCACGTGGCCCCGGTCCTGACATCCACATCCCCCCAGTCTAGACGAGCGCGCTCCACTAGGGGCGCGAAGGGATAGACTCACGTCGAAGCAGACATGGCCTCGATGCCCAAGGAACGAAGCTCCTTTTTGGCCCCACAGGGGGGGGCGGGGGGGGGAAGGCTAGAGGAAAAGCCATGAAGGCCTAAGTGCGCGGAGCCCCTTTTTCGGGGGCGGTAAGAGGGGGGCGGCAAATCATGACCGGCGGCATGTGCGCGGCCCAGCGGGGGGGCCAGGGACGTAATGAAATAAGAAGAGGCGCCATGAAATCTGGGGAAATCTCATGGCCAACGCCATGAGATCGACCCCCCCTAGTCATCGCCCCCCTCTTTGCCGCCCCCGATTTCTTATCCAAACTGTTCCTTATTTCAGCGACTTGGCTGTAGGTACTTTGCGAGTAGTGGAAGGCGCTCCTGTTTCGGCGGTGGACAAACCTCCCTTTAGTGAACCTCCCCTTAGTGAAAACGGCCCGGGACCGAAACCGACGGACCTGGACCCGCAAAGACGACGGCCGCGACGCCCTGAGGCGAACCGAAGACGGCCCATCCTCCGCGAATCGACGTGTCGGGGCAGGAGGCCCATCCACCTCCGAGCTGCAGGCACTCTGCGAACAGTGGAACGCGCTCGGTGACGGGCCAACAACACACACACACACCCATACCCATAGCGGGGTCGGAGAGGGCTATGGGTGCGTGTTGTCGCATGGGGGTCCCCGCTCGAACGGGAGCGTTCCCCAGGGTCCGACAACCCGCACCCATACCCATAGCCAGTCCTCCTCCCAACGACCCCCCTACCCAGACCCCCGACGTCATGATTTTTTCATGACGTCGACCCCAAGCGGTCTGGACCCATTCCCCAGGACCGGTTTTTCATCCTGAGTCGTTTTTTGACGGTCCCGAGGGCCGGTTAGGGCCCCCAGAGGCCGAAAATCATGAAAAACCTCCCGTCGCGATTTCTCATGACTCGAGGGGGTCTGGGTATGGGTCTGGGTGCGGGTTGTCCGTTCGTCATCGGAGACGGGCCTCGACCCCCTTCCTCGAGGCCCGGTGGCTCTCGGGCAACGGCGCCCGGGCCTCCGGCGGCCGCCCCGCCGAGGCCCCCCCCCCTCCTCGGGGCGCGGGGCCCCCGCCGGGGCGAACGCGGCCGCCGGAGGGCACCCCGGGGAGGCGAGGGCGCCTCCAGGATCCAGCGGAAACTCGAGCAGGAGATCCTCCCCCTCCTCCTCCCCCTCCTCCTCCTCCTCCTCCTCCTCCTCCTCCTCCTCCTCCTCCTCCTCCTCCCTCCTCCTCCTCCCATTCCTCCTCCTCCCATTCCTCTCTCCCCTCCTCCCTCCTCCCACTCCTCCTCCTCCTCCTCCTCCTCCTCCTCCCTCCTCCTCCTCCTCCTCCTCCTCCTCCTCCTCCTCCTCCTCCCCTCCCTCCTCCTCCTCCTCCTCCTCCTCCTCCTCCTCCTCTCTCCTCCCCTTCCTCCTCCTCCCTCCTCCTCCTCCCATTCCTCCTCCTCCCATTCCTCCTCCTCCTCCCATTCCTCCTCCTCCTTCCTCCTCCTCCCTCCTCCTCCTCCCCCCTCCTCCTCCTCCTCCTCCTCCTCCTCCTCCTCCCTCCTCCTCCTCCTCCTCCTCCTCCTCCCTCCTCCTCCTCCTCCTCCTCCTCCTCCTCCTCCTCCTCCTCCTCCTCCTCCGCCACGTCTTCATTTACCTCCGACGTCTTATCACGCATCCCGTCACCCTCGAGGGCCGAGGTATCCAGGGTCGGCGGCACTGGCCGTAGGGCCTTAGCAATACAGAATTGATTCACACCAAAATTGTTTGTTCGTCGAATCGCCGAGGGAAGACGTAGCAGCCCGCGGAAGCTTGGTTTTCTCCTCGCCAGGTGCGACGAAAAATCCATGTCGGGATAAATCAATTCTGTAGTTGATCCCCTACTCGAAACATGCTTCCTCCCTCTCCCGCTTCGACGACGGAGACGTCTCCACCCTCCCAGTCCCCTCCGAGGGGGTCGGCCGGAGGGCTCCCGCGCCGCAGGCGCCGCGTCCAGCAGCTTCTGGTACCCGTGCAGCTGCCGCCACCCGCCGTCGCTCGCCCGCAGGTCCGCGCACGACCAGCGCGCGCGGGCGGTCGGCGTGTCGGCGGCCTCGCCGCAACGTCGCAACGTCGCCGCCATCGCCGTCGCCGTCTTCGCCCTCGCCGTCGTCGTGGTCCTCCTCCTCCTCCTCCTCCTCATCATCACCATTCTCGTCGTCGCCGTCGTCCTCCACCACCCTGCTCCCCCCTCGCCCTACTCCTCCCTCCGTATCCCTCCCCTCCTTCATTCCCTTCCCTTCCCTTCCCTTCCCTCCCTCCCTCCCTCCCCTCCCCTCCTTCATTCCCTTCCCTTCCCTCCCTCCCTCCCTCCCTCCCTCCCCATGCACTCCTCCCCTCCGCTCGCGCGCGCAAGCTCCCGGGAGTGAGCAGGGCGGGAGGGGGACGAGGGAAAACAGAGCTGAGGGCAAGAAGGGAGGAACAGCAGCAGCAGGAACAGGGAGGAAGAGGCAGCAGAGAGGAGGCGGGGAAAGGGAAAGACGAAATGAGAAAAGGCTGCGGGAGGGGTGGTAATCACGAGGAGGAGGAGACCGTGTGGCGCCGAGAGCCCGTCCAGGGGCAAATGATGAGTTACGGGGGAGCACGGAGGCCGAATTGAATGAACCTGACCCTTGGCGTTGCGAGGGCAAGTTGGGTGCGAACGGACCTCAAGGCTCTACGTCCGTCGCTCCGTCTACAACTCCTCCGCGACTACGATTGTGTAGGTCCAATGTAGGTGGCGTCTGCAAATCTATGTGCGAAAGAGGGGGGAAAAATAACGGGTGATGGTGTCATCGCGCAGCTTTGCAAGCACGTACCCTAGACGCAGACACAATGATTCAGCCAGGAGCGGGTCGGGACCAGGTGGGGGCACCAGCTTGCAGAGCGGACCACAATGACAATCATGTGCCTGGTCGTCGAGAAGCTCTGGGCACCCGGAAAAGGTAAGGCTGAGTGGCCAATAGCAACCTGCACGATGCGGTCCACGCACCCGGTCTGTTTCACTGCAGCATGCTGCACTGCCTGAGGGAAGCGTGACAGCTTCTCGGCGCTTCCCTCACTCGCTGCGGCGGCCGCCTCTCGACGGGCACTGCCCAGGGCGGCCAGAGCCTTGGCCGCCATCGGGTTGATCAGCTTGTTGTCGGGTTGCGACGTACTCTAGGGCTCCCAACTTCGCGCTTCGCGCTGCGCGAAGCGCGAAGCGCGAATAACTTCGCGCTCTCGCGCCGCCCTCCCAAAGGGAGAATAGGAGGGCGAGGAGGAGGGGGAGAAGGAACGAGGACCGCGAAGCGCGAAGCGCGAATAACTTCGCGCCCTCGAGGGAGCCCTTGGTTCTCCAGGTGGCAAGCGACGGTCGACGAGCGCCAAAAGGGCGGCGAGGCGTCCTTCGTGGAGAACGGGGGGGGCGGCCAGGCCGCCGTCGGACACCGCGGTCTCGCGCCACAGGGGCGACAGCTCGCGCCACTGCGGGGCCGTCTCCAGCGCCGTGCGCATGGCGGCGACCACACACGTCGGCTCCAGCGACGGCAGCTGCACGAGGAGGAGAGGGAGGAGGAAGAGGAGGAGGAGGACGAGGAGGAGAAGGAGGAGGAGCGGAAGGACGAGGAAGGACTACGAAGAGCAGAAGAAGGAAAATGACGACGACGACGACGAAAGCAACGACGACGACCGCCCCGCATACGGCCAGAAGCGCCGCTCCTTGCCTTGGTCATCGGATGCGGAAGAGGAGATCCTCCTCCTCCTCCTCCTCCTCCTCCTCCTCCTCCTCCTCCTCCTCCTCCCCCTCCCCCTCCTCCTCCTCCTCCTCCTCCCCTCCCCCTCCTCCCTCCTCCTCCTCTCCTCCTCCTCCTCCTCCTCCTCCTCCTCCTCCTCCGCCTCTAATTCCTCGCACGTCCGACCCCTCGAATCCTCGCACTTCCTCGTCCATATCCTCGTCATCCTCCACCTCGCACCCCCCACTCTGCGACTCCTCGCACCTCGACGTCCTCGTCCTCCCCCCGTCTCTCGGGCTGGAACGAGGAGGCGTTGTTCAGGGAGGTTAGCGAGTCGGCCCTCGTGGCCGGGTTTTCTGACGCCCCTCGGCGCCGCGGGCGCCAAATGCACGCATCGAGCAGAGCGCCCAGCGGCTGGGCAGTAACTGGCCGCACGCAGCAGATGTCTCCTCCTGCAGGGGGATTCTGGAAGGGAAATAAGAAAAATAGTCAAACCAAATACCCCCAAAGTGGTCAAAACATGCTCAAAAAGTATGGCCCCCAGCCTATCTCTCGACTGTTATTGAGTATTCCCCCTGTCGAGGGCAAGGCCCCCCCCCCTTTCCAGATGCTCCCCTCCGTCCGACCCGAGTAATCCTCGTCGAGCGGCGGCGGCCGCTCGGGGCACCACTCGAGTCCTCGGCGGCCGTGCGGGACGATTCGGGCACCCGCGAAGCACTCTAGGTCGACCGGCCAGCAGCACCTCGAGGCCGAACACGGCTGGCCGGCACCGACGGATAACGCCTGGAACTTAGCTGCCCCGATACGCAGCACGCAGCACGTATCGTATCGATACGGAGCTCAACACGTAGGCTGAAAACGTGGGTCCGACGCGATACAATCGCCAGAAGGTGGTCCGATACGTGGGGCCAACACGCAACGTATTGACACGGACGTCATGAACACGGAACGTATTGCGCTTCAAAACGGGCGTATCGAGGCAACTGAGGTCTGGAACTGTCGGACCTCGACCCGCTCTAGCTTTAGGTCGGGCCTGCCCCCCCTACAGGGGAAATCTTGGGCGAAGAATTAAAGATACATGCAAGAATACTCGCAACAGGATCGAAAATATGTAAAAACAGATCGTCCCCAGACTATTTGTTCACTATTTCCCCATTCAGAGCTTGCCTCTGTAGGGGTCCTAACGGATTCATATGGTTAGGTGAGGTGGGGCGCCGATTTGGTAGCCAATGGCCTGGTGCCTGGGCCCAGTAGCCTAAGACTATCAATTTTCTAGAACCTTATTAATATTAACATAGCGGCTGGTGCTTTAACTAAACTGCACTTAGCCAACATTAAAACAACCACGCGCTAAATAGCGAATAGTTAACTTAAGTTATAATGCGGCACATATGTTATAACTGGCGTTAAAGAAAACATGAACGCAGCATACTTGGTTTCGGGGGGGGGATGATATCGAACGCCTGCGTGATGTGCAGATATCCTCACATGCCTAGTGTGCTGAAGACAGAGTGCTCAGCGCGGCGGATATGTTTTTGGATGCCTTTGGCGATTGCGTGCTGCAACATGCAGCTTACGGCACGGAAAATCACGAGACTTACGAGAGAAAGCGCTCACTGAGTACCCCCAGACAGAAAGATGGGGGCCTCTGACATGGGCGTGTTCGTCGTCATCGTCACCGCCATCTTAAGCATCGTCATCATCATGGTCACGTAGCCATTTGGGCTCAAGCGACCATGGCGCCAAAACGAATCAGGCCTCGTATATACCATTTTGTTGTTGATGATCTCATCAGCAAGTGGCAAGAAATTTTAAACCTTCGAGATCCAGGCTTCCACTGGGACGGTTCATCATTCGATAGCAAGGCCACAGACTACAGTAGTTTGGAGAAATATCGGACGCCTCTTCAAGGTCTTCTGGAACTGGCTCCATCTGGTTTCCCTTCTCATGTCGATGTCAGAAGCACCTTCGCAAAATTACAGAAGCGCTATGGCATCTTCTCCAGTGACAATGTGGTAAACGAGCGGGCTCTGGACGAGTCTACGGCAGCGTGGAGACTGATGGCAAAACAAATCTACAATTTGAAGAAGAATGACATCGACATACCGTCCCTTCGCAACCTCACCGCGATCATCAAGCTGCCAGGCGAGGTCCCCGAATCCTCCGGCGGGGACACTAGCTCCTCGAGGGGCACATCAAGCGAGAGGCCGCCTCCAGAAAAGGCCTTAAATCTGGAGGATGTCGAACAGCTGTACAACGTAGGCGACAACCAGAGCGAGGAGGAATGCTACGAGGCTGAGGATGTTGAATGCCAGATGCTTTCAATGACATGCCATTGTCCAGAGTGCGCTAAGATGCGCTCCAGCAGCGGCATCGATGCCATTATCATCGACGACGAGGGGGACGACAAGCCCTTGGACAAGAAGCCTGCGAAACCCAAGGACAAGAAGCCCGCGAAGCCCGAGGACAAGAAGCCCGCGAAGCCCGAGGACAAGACTCCCGCTGGTGCAATTCCTGTTCCAAACCCGATTGCTGGCAAGCAGCGCTTCGATACCACCATGGTTCCGAAGGTTCGGTTCAAATCCAAGAGGCCGCTCACGATCCCCAACCTGCTGGGGGTCAAGCCGACCAAGCCGATGAAGAGTGCAAAGAAACAGAGTCCGACTTCGAAGAAAAAAGTTGGTCTTGACCCGAAGGCTTGCATCCCCATGCCGATCTCGATCGTCCACAGGAAGACGTCGGAAAAGGCGAAGCTGCCAGAAGCCTACCTCATGGCAGGTGGCAAGTTTCTCGTGGCGCAGAGTTCGGCCAAATGCGCATCGTACCTCGAGAACGTGAAGGAGTTGAAGATCAAAATCGAGGCGAAGGAGGTGCGTACACCCGAGGCTGCTAAGAAGTGGCTTGAGGACAAGCTGGAGTAGACAACGCATGGGAGCTGTGCTTAAGCCGTGCTTTGTGGGTAGTTGCCGCGGGCAGCGTTTGGGGCTGCAAGCCTGCGACGGAGAGAAAAACAATGATTAACCATCCGACCCCTCCTCAATCCTTTCTCCCCTTCCTCCTCCTCCTGCTCCTCCTCATTATGCCCCCCCCCTCCCTCTCCCTCTCGCCGCTCCCCTTCGTGCTCGGTATATTTACACACGCATTTGACATGCAAACACTCCCCCTCCTCTCCCTCCCCTCCTCCTCCCCATCCGTGCCATTCATCCTTCCTCCCCTTCCCTCCCCTCCCCTCCCCTCATCATCCTCCCTTCCTCCCTCCCTCCCTCCCTCGCGTCATCGTCGTCGTCGTGTCCGTCAGCGTCCATTCACCGACCGATTGATCCATTCGTAGACTCGTGGACCTTTCCATTGATTGATTGATTGATGGGCGCATGGATGAATTTCTAAACCTTGAGATGGGTACAAGTGGGTCCTTAGATGGTGGACCTGATTAGGTTTCCATCCTTCCTCCATCCCTCCCACCCTCCCTCTCACCTTCGTTCCGTCCATCCCGATCCCCATCCCCTCCTCCCTCCGTCCCTCCCTCCGCCCTCCCCCCCCCTCGCGTTATCAAATTCGTCGTCGTCGCCATTATGAGAATGAGAATGGCAATCGCAAACCGTCGATTTACGTAGCCAGTTTTGCTCTGATCGAGTGACCACTTGCATGCAGCATGGCCAAGCACGCCCAACCCACATTGCCATGTTTCCTCAAGCTCAAGGTCGAGCCGTCAGCTGCACCAGGCTCGGTGGTTGTGAAAACTGAGCCTGGGGGTGACCCAGGCTCGGGGGCTAGCTCGGCTAGTTCGTTGGGCGGAAGCGGCCCCCTTTCGAGCGACAAGGCGAAGTACAACAAGTTCAACTACAGGCTCAAGCTGTGCGGCGACGAGTACAAGGATTACTACAAGAAGCTTGTGAAATCCAAGGACCAGGCGGCCATCGATACGTTCGTCACCGACTTGATTGAAATGGGCGCAAATCTACCAAGCGATTATCTCGTTCGCAAGAGGAAGGTCGTGGAGGAGAAGGAGCACGACGACTTTGTCGAGTGGGTGCCCTGGGCGAAGGCCGCTGAGCGGGAGGGGCACGAGTGTCTCCTGGAGATGGTGCAAGCTGGTACTGTCTTGAGCCGCAAGAACCCCAAGCTGCCTGCAGACTCCAAGATCGAGTTCCCCTTCAACCAGCAGGTCAAGCAGCAGAGGGAGGTCGAGCACAAGAAGAACAAGACGATCGATGAGAGGGAGAATGCTACGCATGAGGCAGTGACCAGCGACGGCAGCGAGGCGTTCCTGAAGGAGTTCACGCACGCGTCCATCAAGGCCAACTCGGTTCTCAAAGAGGGCTCTGGAAATCCGCCCACTACCGCGCCAGTGTCCGTGCTCTCTGGAGCCAGCGTGGCAGGGAGCGGGACCCATCCGCCCGACGATCCAAAGGTGAAAGTGGCCATTCAAGCGATTCGGAGATCCCACAACGTTTGGGATCGGTCTCTCCGCGATTTCGCAGCACTCGTACAGAAATCCAAGGATCATCCAAACACGCAAGGGTGCAAATTCGAGAAGGATCTCGAGTCGATCTCCTCCCAGGGCGATCTTATCGACAAGAAGCTGGTCAGCTTGGAGCAGAAGTACATGAACACAGGGACCCTCGACGACGACGATATCAAGCTGGGGGCCGAGCAGGTGAGTGCAATTCAGGATGTGGTCAAGCAGGGGAACAAGAGGGCAACCGCCCTGCGCCCCTGGTTCAAAGTGGACTGAGCGGGGTTGCCTTCTCGTCGAGGGTTCGCTGCCGAGCATGGGCCTCCACCCAATGAGCTGGCCGAGCGGCACTGGTCTAGAGCTTAGTCCGCTGACTCAGCAGGCATGGGCAAAGCGATGAGAGACGCAATTCAGATATGTTTAAGACATTTTTCAGATATCTGAAAACCTCTATAAAGAAATCAATAAGAACATTCAGATTTTTTTCAGATATCTGAAAAAAATCTGAAAAAAACTGAACTGTGATATGTCTCAGGTCTGCCAGCCCTTGCCAGCTCCCCTCCTCCTCCCTCCTCCTCCCTCGTCCTCCCTCCTCCTCTCCTCCCCCTTCTCATCATTCCTCCTTGCTGCTGCTGCTGCTCCTCCTCCTCCTCCTCCTCCTCCTCCTCCTCCTTCTGTTCCTCCTCCTCTCCTCCTCCCCCTCCTGCTCCTCCTGCTGCTCCACCTCCTCCTCCTCCTTACTCTCCGACCTTCTTGGGTAGACGCCACGTGCAGCGTGCGGAGAACGCGGGAGCCGCTTTCATTGAACGAATGCCTCCTCTCTCCTCCCTCCACCTCATCGTCCCCCCCATTGTCCTCGGTTGTTTTTCAAGCACACTTGAAAACAACAAAACCGAACAAAAAAACAAGAGCAAGCTAACTTGTTTGCGGTTTATCATGGCCAGCTCCGTGTCCAAGGGTTCGGGGGGTGAGATCCGTCACAAGTTGCCCCACAAATTGCCTGTATGACCCCCCCCCCCCCAAGGATGCTTAGGGGGGGGCGGGGGGTGAAAAATGCATTTTTGAGCCACCCCCCGCCTCCGCTGCCAATGGGGCTCAAGATTGAGCCAATACAATGTTTCTTTCATCAGTTCGGTGGGTCTTCGGAGTTTCCCTGGGGCCCGAGGGCGATTCCCCCTGCAGGGGCCCTCCAATGTGCGATTGGGGCTGGGTGACGAGTGCCAGCCTGGCCGGCCGTGATTCCGACCCTCACTGCACCTGTTCCGTTTTTGCGGGAAGATAGGGTGGGGGGGCGGGCACGCCTTCTCCGTGGTGTGGCCGCTGGGGATCTCGGCCCACGCCATCCAGTGTTTGAGTTTATTGTTGCATGACACCCTCGGTCAGAGTCCAAGCTCACCCTCATTCTCCTCCTCATCCTCCCTGCCCCCCCTCTTGTGTAGCACTTTCGGCTCCACGAAACTATGTATCTGTGCGTATACAGTATACACTTGTTCATATGCTCATCCGTTTACTTGTACTCTGTCTGCCGATGTCAGCTTCGATTTTGTTTGAGCCATTGTATGTCCAGGAGCCAAGGCGCCTGCGAGGTGGTTGGCGACAACGCGCTCGGCAAGCTCGCGAGGAGGAGCCGCAGCGAGTGGCTTCGCCCTCAAGGCTTGCCATGGGCCATTTGTTGGAGTGGAGCGATGGCAAACTATCTGCCACACAAGTGCAGCTACACATGGGCAATGCTGCACATGATGGCATTGTTGATCCTCTTGTCAATCGATTGAGCCATCTCGGTGTCTCGCCGCAACACTGCCATGGTAACTTGATGTCGTTGCTGGGCGAACTCCCTCTGATGGATGTAGTCACACCAGTAGCAGGGAACACATGGACTCACGTCATATTGCCGTCTTCCTGGATCAAGTTGTTGCTTCGGTTCAGCCCTCGGGAGTTTCGCCTGAGGCTGGGTGCCGATGCATCGAAAGTTAAAGCTTTCTGGGAGGGCTGGTACCGATCCCCAGTTCGGGTGGCATGGTCCCAAGACCACGCGCACCTGCGAGGCAAAGCAGCACCTGACTTGTTCACAACCGTCCCGCTGGCAGTGCACGAAGACGCTGGTCCTGTCACGAAAAAGCTGTCTGCTCGATGTTTAAGTTTCTCTGGTGTTTTAGGCGTGGGGACAGAAAAGCTCACGAATTTGTTGTGTGCGTCTGCTATCAAGGGAAAGAAGGGCGAGGACGACCTCAAAGCATGGGATGTCATAATTGCTGATCTCGAAACTTTGGCGTCTGGCGGATTCGAGTTGCGAGACGCAGATGGATTATTGTGGAAGTTTGTTCTAATGTTTGCAAAAGCAGACGAAGAGTGCAGATGCAACGATTGGGGTTTGGTTCATTTTTCTTCTGCTGATGAAGTCTGCCCAGAGTGTTTGGCAAATCGTAGCAATCGTCCTTACACGGATCTGCAACGCAGTGCAAAATGGCGACCGACAGAGGCCATGCCCTTTGAAAGTTTTAAAGCAAGGCTCAGAGTGCCATTGCACCCTTTGGCGAAATGCGGATCCATGTCTCGGTTTCTCTTCTACCCAGATCTCATGCATATGATGGATTGTAATGGGGTTGCGTCAATAGTCTTCGGATCCGTTCTCGTGCGATTGACAGGCGAACCCCATCTCGGCAACAACATCGCACAGCGCTTGGACGTGATAAACGACCAGCTGTCAGAATGGTATCGGCGGCGGCCAGGGAGCCACCGACTCCCTCGTCTTGCCCAGGGCAACTTGGTCAACAACGGCTGGGCTGTCTTACATGGCCCCGCAATCAAAGCAGCGAACACACGAAAGGCTTCAGGTTTCTTTGCGCAGCTGGCTGCGCAGTACCTTGGGCACGGCTCCGACTTCGACAAACATATAGCCTCGGCGGCGAGATTACTGCACGAGTTCTACTCAATCATATACGCAGCCCCTGTTTTCGTGAGTGATCACGATGTCGGTCGGCTGCGTTCTGTCTGCGTTGATTTCGGCGAGGCTTTCATGTGGTGCAGGGAATTCTCTCGTCGGGCTGGCCAGTTGTGTTGGGAGATCACTCCGAAGACCCACAAGATGATGCATGTCCCTTTAATGGCCCAGATCGTGAACCCTCGGACAGTACATTGCTATGCAGGTGAGTCGCTCATAGGCACAACGGCCAAGGTGTGGAAAGGATCGATGTCTGGCCGTTGGAAGAAAGCTGCGCAGAACGTTGTCTTGTCAAAACGTTTGCTTGGCGTGTTGCTTCGAATATGTATGCCACCGTTGCGGCAATAGATCGTGCATGCCATTTCTTGTGCGGGAGAGGCTGGCTGAAGAGGTCCAGCCAGTGAAAAAAATATCACAATCATCATCGTCACCATCCCCCCTCTCCTCGAGGGGAGGGGGGAGAAGAAACAAGCGAACCCCAAACGCAGCTACACAAATCAAACACCCAACACCAGCAACAAAACAATCACATCCACAGCACAATCGAGGGCCGTTCGCGAGTCACTTGCGGCCGCTCAGCATGGCTCCCATGGTTCCTCCTCCCTCCTCCTCCTCCTCCTCCTCCTCCTCCTCCTCCTCCCTCCTCCTCCTCCTCCTCCTGCTCCTTCTCCTCCTCCTCCTCCTCCTCCTCCTCCTCCTCCTCCTCCTCCTCCTCCTCCCTCCTCCTCATCGTGACTCCTTCGGGATGCGTCCAACCCCCTCCTTGGAATATCAGGACAGTCCTGAGATACCAAACGTGGGTACGTTTGCTTCTGTCCGTCCTGAAGGACATGTGGGTACGTTTGCCGCTCTCAGTCTTGAGGGACCGAATGTCGGTACGTTTGCTTTTGACTGCCCTATGATACCACATGTGGGTACGTTGCCGCTGTTTCCCCTGGGGAACCAACAATGGGTACGTGCGATCCTGTCAGTCCTAGAGCAGCGCGTATACGAACTAATAATGACAAGTAACATTAAATAAACAACATTAAGATGAAACCAACTTAAGTACCATGAACTTAACACTAATTAGTTAGATTAATCTTAATATCTTTAATATTAAGTAAACTAGTAACTTAGAAAAGTAGCCTATTCAGGCTACTGGGGGTGCCCGGAGAGGGGGCCCGGGGGCCCGATTTCGGTGGCCGGGCCCGGGTGCCCGGGGCCCCGGTGCCCGGGTGCCCGGGTGCCCGGGCACCTGGTGCCCGGGGGTGCCCTGAGTAGCCCTGTAGCCTGATCGCCCTATAGCCCTGTAGCCCTATAGTCCCATAGCCCTATAGCCCTATAGCCCTATAGCCCTATCGCCATATCGCCCTATAGCCTTATAGCCTTATAGCCCTCATAGCAATATAACCTTATAGCCTGATAGCCCTATAGCCCTACTATAGCCTATTATAGCCCTATAGCCCTATATCCCCAGAGCCTTATAGCCCTATAACTCTATAGTCAGGGGGGCGTAAGATCCGGGTACAGGGGACTCGGAAATCCCCGACGAGGTTGTCAAAAAAATGACGAGGCCGAGCCTGCATTTTGACGAGGCCTCCCGCTGCAGACATCCCACGAAACTCCTCCTCGTCAAAATCCGAGGCGCGTTCGTCCAAAAACGATGGCGAACCCGAGTCCTGGCAAACCCAGGTCTTACGCTCCCCCGATATAGCCCAAGTTCCCACGGCCCTAAAAAGATTATGATTGGGGCTTTTCTCCGGTATCATTTTGAATATTCCTCCTGTAGAAGGATAAGCCGGACTTAACTTTAGTTCGACCCGAACCTCGACCGTTCTCGGCCCCAGTCAGAGAAGCTCATCCTCGAACTAGAGGCATCCTGGCTGGGGATCGAGTTGATGGGGTCGAAAAACATCGCGCCGCATCGCCGACGCACCGGCGATGCAGCCGCGACGGCGGCGATACATCGGCGCCGTCAGCGTGGAGAGAATCCAGCTCCACATCGAGCCGCCTCGGCGATGCATTGGCGATGCGGCCCGATCCTCCGTCTCCATCCACTCCGATCCCGTCTGAGAGGCCTAGAGTTCTGTGCTGGCGACCTGGGCCACCGTACCTCAATAGGTTTGGGGTGACCCATATGCGGGCAATATTTATGTCTATATCCACTGCAGTATGGCGTTTCGGGCTCCCTTCCCAAGAAACCCGAGGCGCACTGGATATGGATAAACTTGCCCCCTAGAGGCTCGATCTTTATCCATATCCAGTGCGCCTCGGCCTTGTGGCGCCGCTTCCAAAAAAGTCCGAGAGGCACTGGATATGGACATGAATCTTGCCCGCAGCAGATTCC